CACCCCCCTGCACCGTCCCTGAGAGAAACGGCTCTTCCGTACCCCCCCATCCCCCCAGCCAGACCCTGCCTGGGGGTCTGTCCTTCGGGGGACAGCCCCGAAGCGCGTGGCCCACCGAGTGACCGAAGCGCCCGCACGCCCGAAAACACACACACGCGCGCGGGTTTCTTTCCTTGGCTTTTATTGCTTGGACACACGGGTTGCTTGAGCCCCTTGTGGGGACTGCGAGGGACTGGGCCCGAGGCCCCAGCCCGCCGCGGGCCGCCGCAGTGGTGAGCAGGCCCGGCTGGGGCGGGCGGGCCGAGCGGCCGGGTGCTGTGGGGCGGCAGCTAGTCGTGGGGCGGGGCCACCTGGGAGATGGTGGTGGACTCGAAGAAGCGGCTGAGCAGCGCGTTGTTGTGGACCGCCATGTCCACGAGCTCCGGGGTGATGCGCGTCCTGCCGCAGTTCCGGGCCTCGTTGCCCGCCAGCTCCAGCACGGTGGCCGTCAGGTACTGGATGACGGCCGCTAGGAAGACCGGCGCGGACGAGCCCAGGCGCCGGGCGTAGCGGCCCTCGCGCAGGAGGCGCTCCACGTGGCTCACGGAGAACGACAGCTCGGCTCGGGCGGTGCGGGAGCGGGCCTGCCTCTGGCCTCCGGACGACCCTTGGTGGCTCCTCTTGGCCGGCATGCTGGGCCTCGGCTGCGCTCTGGCTCGGCGACGGGCCTAGGTCGGCGGTGCTCTGCGGGCTCGGCGGGGCTCTGCGGGCTCGGCGGGCTCGGCGGCTTCGGCGGGGCTCGGCGGGGCTCAGCGGCTTCGGCGGGGCTCGGCGGGGTGCGGCGGGGCTCGGCGGGGCTCAGCGGGTCCCAACTTCTCCAGCCACCCGGTTGGGACTCAGGACTCGGGCCCTTACGCTGCCGTCTCCTAGCGACCACAGACCGACCCCCGTCATTGGTCCGGGGCCACACACTTCGGGACACGTAGATCCGGTGAGGTCACCGCTTTCCCATCGGCCCCTGCCGGGAGCTCGGGCCCGCCAAGAAATGGCGCGAGCGGGAGCCTGCCCCCCC